CAGCTCCAGCGACTCTTCGGCCAAGGAGGAGACGTCTCACAAGCTACACAAGACAATGGAGAAGCAGCCCTCCTACGGAGACGCCGTCTTTTCCTTCGACCACGGCATCCCCGGCAGGATCCCAGACTCTTTAGCCCCAAGCGACTCTTCAGCCCCAAGCGGCACCGGACTCTCAGGGGAAAGGCAAGAACAAAAGCAAAAAGGTGGAACGGCAAGGGCACGGGAAGAACAGCGGCCCCTCGCGGATTTCTTCTGGAGGGCAGAACAACATTCTCTCAGCCATGGGGAGACTTTGCCTTCGGCACGAAGATGCGATAGCGGTCCAGAGAGCGAATCAGGGTTACGTCTGGTTTCTGCGGACTTCGGGACGGGAGTCGGTCATTCCGTCGCTCGCACAGGTGTCTCAGGCATAGAATCAGAGCAAGGAGACGACCACTCCCAAGCACCCACTTCCAATCGTGATGTTATCTGCTTTGCTGGAGGTGACGGTCGAACGGGCAGAGGCGGCAGTGGCACCAGATAAAAGGGATCAGTCGGCGAGAGCAGGATTGGTGGTCGATCGGGAGGAAGAGCCGCTTTGGCCATTTGTTCGATGGAATCCGGAAACATGTGTGGAGGAGTTGGCCCCGAGCGAAACGATTCGCCCCTTGGAGCATTCTCGCCTTCTCCGGAAGCTCAATCACATTCGGGACACGATTCATCCGGAAAACATCCTTCGTTGCCACGGTCATCACAAGATTACGGAGCAGATCGAGGCCGATGTCTACCGTTTGGTTCTCGAGGTGGAGACGGTGGCGGAAGAAGCTCAGAACCTTCCCGAATGGCTTCGTCTTCTGACGAATTGCACGGTGGCACCGGCTATGATTTGTTCAATCCTCACAACCTGTGTTATGCCAATACAGTGGCCATTTCTGTTACATGGCTTGGATACGTGTATCAGAGCTATGTGCATGTGGGTGGCAGGTGTTCTGGATGCCTTGGTGTTGCGCAAGGAGCTCGGATGTTGCTGCTCACCAGTTCCATACCCTGACTTACGATTCTTTCAGACTGGCCTCAGGTTCATGAGCAACATGATGCTGCGGAATTCATAACCCATTTTCTCTCGAAGGCCGCTCCGCCAGCTTTTACAGGTGTCTGGCAGTCTCGTTATGAGCATGAAGATGGCATTTTATGTTCAGGTTCAAGGCTCGCTTATGGTCCCACTGAGCTTGGACAGGTTGGGCGCAGATGTTCAAACTGACATGTGGGAAGGACAGTCGTATGTTCATGCAATGCAACACTTTGAGCATGCAATCATATTGCAGCTGCATCGCTTGGAGCGAGTGGTGCGCGAAAAATGGCTGCTCGGGCGCGTGTCCGTCCTGGTCAAATCATTGCTGTTCCTGCCTGTTCTGGCCCTGCTTCCACTACCACACTCATGGTCACCTGTCGTATTGCCTTTGTGATATATCATCTGGGTCCTTCCATGCATGCTGGGCATTACACAACGGCAGTGCGTATTCCTGCTAATGCCGGTGGCTTTCATGGTGGCTGGAAATTCATGGTTTGCAATGATGCTCACAAACCTTACCTGGCTACAGCGAAACACTATGATGACATTAAGTGCAACTGCTATCTTGTCGGACTGTACCGGTCGACCGACCCCTGATGATGCAGGATATGACCACTTTGTGCTCAACTGACTGGTCTCGGCACATCTCTCCCCTGGAAATTGCCTAGAAGTTGAGGCATATGGTCTCCACATTATGCCATATTCTTAAGTAAGCTGTTGTATATCACTCTGATTTTGCCGTCACTGAACTTTCTATGCATACTGCCGGGGTAACCAATGGCTGCCTGCCACGCACCCGACCTTCAATGCTCTGGATGGCCATTATGACTGATACGTTGCACTGCCTTCTTCTTATCGTAGACGGTGCTATGGTCTTGCAGGGTCAGTCGGGCTTAGGGTTTAGAGTTTAGTGCACACTTCGTCAGCTGGCCAACAGTACCATTCAATTTTAATTTCGCGCGGATGCGCCATTTCGTATCTCCAGCAGCTGCCCAGAAGCAGCAGTGTCTTCATTCATTGCACAACGCAGTACTTGTTGCGAGAGCTTCAGTTGTCATCATGCGCTGAAACTTCGTTTGGCAATCTGCCAAAGCGGAACGACTCTGCTGTCACGTGAGCCCCCAATCCTAACTTTTAAGCTCTTTTAAGCACCAGCTTTGATCATATGTAGCAATACCTGTCCCTCGATTTACTTAATTCCGAAGTCTGCGGCCCATGCATGTGCAAATTCATGAATTTTTGGCACAGGAATCTGGGATATTTTCATTTCGTGGAACATCCCGAACTGTTCTCGAATAGGGCCGGAGTAATTAGCTATATTAAATAACCTTCTGCTTATGTGTGTTACTCTGAATATTTAACTTCATGCTCCAATCCTTCATCTGACAGCTGATCGCTTGCTTCACCCTGGACTCGGGTCTGGATGGCCGCTCTATCCGGTGATCTTTTACTCGACTTCAGCCTGAGAGTGTTGGCTAGTCCATCATTCTGTGCTAAACCCATGGCGCACGCGCACATCTCGACGTGATCCTGTAGGTGGTAGCATCCCTCAGACTGTTATGTCTGTTATGCTGTATGCTTGCTGTTTTGATGCTGATATGCTTTGCTGTGCAACATGGGCACGACTCATGTATGCTCCAGCCGAACGTCGAGCTGTCACTCAGATTTGTAACGCTGCCCTCATGCCTCGCTCTTGTATGGTGGATTCTTAAATGTTGGCCTCTATCACTGTTCTCGGATGTTTGTTTTGTACATTACCTTTGGCATGAAGGCACTCTTTGACAGCATTTCGTTCTCTTTTAGAGCTCTCATATCTGTTCAAGGCTGGTTCCTGAAAGTGAGGCTGCTGAAACAGCTGCCATTACCTGCCACGCTGGTAATGCTCATATTTATCAAAGTGACTTGTAAGCGGTCGAAATTGCTGCATGTGACTTGGTGCTCCTAGTTTCATGCCTTAGGGTCCTCTGCCCCATAGTCACTAGCGCTCTTGACTTCTCACATGCACTTATGGGCTGCGACGTTTCAATAAGTTGTAAATGGCTGATGATGTCATATCTACCTCATGCCTTCTCGTCATTTAATTCCTATACTTGTACGCTGTTTCATACTGCATGACATCCTGGGCCAATCAATCGGGTCACGACCGCCGCTGCACACTTTGCGATCCCATCCATGGGAACTGTTTGCCTTTTCTGTTATCATTGAAGCCTGGCATTTATGCTCTGATACTCTTCTCGAATCTATGGCATGATGCTCGTTGGAGGATCTCTGCCACTTTGCTTGGCAGGCTGCAAGAACTGATGCTTCACATTGCCATTTGTGATTTGTTGCTTTAACAGTGTTCAACCTTACAGCCTGCGCAAGTCCTTGCTTGGGTCTGCGGACCGGAGGACACTGTGCTGGAGTGCATGCTTGGTCCTTCGGGACGGCGCACGGCTCTAACCTCTCGTTTCCTCTCGTCTGTATCGGATCACCTATCTGAGCGACCCAGTCGCCGTGCAATATGCATGTCCTTACAGCTCGCTACGTTCGATCGCCGCACAGCGCTTCAAATCCAAAAAGTCAATAACCTTCATTGCTTCAAGGAGAAGAGAAAAAGTACAGCGAGAGAGGCAGAAACAGATGTCGAAGCAGAAAGCGCAACAGTGATAGATGTACCCGAAATGACGGATCGTTGTCAAGACAACGGAAACAGGAATGTTATGTTGGTTGCAAACAGCGCTCCTTTGTGTGGAAATCGTTGATTTCAACCTCTTCAGACAGGATGCACCGAAAGGACAGTTGCCAGCCATGCACAAAGATGCAGGGCCAGGATTCTTTGAAGGTACAAACCGAAAGACGTTATTCAGCCCCCCCCCCACCCACCCAACCCCCCCAACCCTCAAACAGTGAGCCAGACAAGCCGGCCCCCACCAAATTGTCAGGATCCACTGCCCCAAAAAAGAAAGCCCAGACGCAATGAAAGCAGGGACCATCAAAGGAAAATCCTGCTTTGGAGGATGGCCAGTCATGTTCGCGTCAGGGAAAACCAGGCGTGAGTCGGGAAGGGAACGGAGAAGCATGAATATACACAACAGTCAACGACATCTCCTGCCGTGCCGGAAACCATGCTAGTAGCTTCAGGAACAAACCGACAAGGCCTCGAAAATGGAAGATGTAAAATCCCAGAAAGAACAAGCAAGTCATGTGCGTGGCGAGCTCATACATCGGTGGCGGTTGGGGGTTGTTCACTTCGTCAAGTGACCTCACAAGAGACACTTCCCGTGGACCATGCTTCAAGGTTCCGTACAAGGGGGGGTTCCATGCATAGAGCTGTTGGATGGCTGCAGACAAGCCTTCTCAAGTCTGCCAACCAAGCATCAATGCCATCGGATGTGTCGGGAAACGGGCATAAGGGACGTAGCGCCTGCACTACCTTCTGGTCATCAATACGTCTGCTTACGATATTAGGTTGGTAGCTCAGACTTTTCAGCCGCAAACCCTATGAATTCATTGTTCATGGAATGTCTTGTTGTATCGATTCCAAACCTAACCGAGTGACGGTGCGGAGAGAAACACGATGCTCACATCCTTGTTATATACACAGACCTGAACAAGCTAAAACGCAAATGCGACCACCGACTGAGAAGCAGACCCTTCCCACTCAGACCAATCGCCGAATTTGCAATCCTGCCGGACGTCGAGGAAGTCTCGTTCACGCCAATTACAACTAATCGTTTGACAGGCCTGCTCTTGCTGACAAACCACGGGGCATGTCTTCGTCTCGAGCGTAGGGCCTCCCAGGCATGAACTCAAGATTTGCAGGCCATCGTCTACCCAGCATCTTGACACCTGTGCAGCCAACGCCACAGTTGTTGTTGTGTTTGCTGATGACACGATGTCGTTCGCACAAACCTGTCGACAGCAGGAGTATTGAGGACAACCGTTAGGAAGATCGGCAACACCCGGTTCAACACAGGAGAGCTTTGCCCAAACATGTCGGATCATGCCACTCACTCCATGCGCCAAACTCGCAGTTCTCAGCAATACACCTGACTCATGGCGCCAACGAAACTTATGCATGGTGTCTCATTGATGATCGCAACAGTGATTTGTTGTGGATGTAATCAAACTCTGTGAGAGGCGCGTCTGACACTCCTCTTTCATCGGGCAGGCGCTCACATTGAGCTGCGTCCCTGCCTTACTGTGAAAGACATTTGTCTAGTCAATCGCTGCAGAAAATGTGCTGGGGCGACGGCGCATGATGCCTCATCCGCTACCATGAAGAGAAAGTCTGTGGAGTAGGAAGTCAACCCCAGGGCCTCAAAGTTGGACATGTAAACACATGGAATGCACGAACCTGTAGTTCCGTTCCCTGCCGAGTCTGATGCTCTGTTGCGTGTCGTGCTGGTAGTGCCACACTTATTGCAAGACTCTGACCTCAGTCAAGCACGCACACAAGCCACGCAAGTTGCAGGCTTCCTGTTGCACACCTCTGGCTCTATCTTTCTCTCTCTCTCTCTCTCTCTCTGTCTTTCGTGTTTCCTTTTGCCTTCTGATCTCTAGTTGTTCGTCTGCTTCTTCTTGATCCTGGTCTTCCTTCCTTGCTGCACCGCAGCACTTTGTAGCAGGCACGCTGCTGGCGATCGTCCTCTGTAATCCTCAATCCTGCTTTGACCCCCATCGAAGGAACATGATCCCCGAGATCCATCTCTTTCTTTGTCGCTCTCTCTCTCTCTCTCTCTCTCTCTCTCTTTCTCTCTTTCTCTGTCTCTATTTCAACACAGGCCACGGGAAAGCGATTACCTGCCCTCTCCGTCCCTCTCTCTTCTCTCTCTCTACTCGCTGCTTGGCCATCGTGCGTTGACCAGTATGTCCAAGCGCAGAAGAGAGAGTTTTCCTCAGAGCAGATGACGGCGCTGCAGCATGCGTCAACTTTCATCCCCGGGCAGGAATGCAGCCATGCGGCACATTTGCTGTGACATGCTCCCGCTTCTTTTGCGTCCATCGGTTTGCATGGCCTAGCTTGCTGCACACTCCCAGCGGTCCGAACCGCATGCCGGTTTCTCATCAGGTCAGCCTTCCGCAATGATTCGGCATCTGCTGGATGTTGCGAAAGCGAAACCTGGTTGATTCAGTGCTGTGTCGAAAAAAAGGAAATCCACGCAGAATCATCGTCGAAGTCTGTTGCACCGTCTGCCTCTGCCCGCCACATTTGGAGCAACTGCCCCAGTGGCTCCATGCCTGGGCAAGCTCGCCAAGGGCCTACCGATCTGCGAAAGACACTTCTGAGGATCTCACACCCCAGGTACAGTCGTGGCAGCCACTCTCTGGACAAGGCTCCCTGGAGCGAAGACATGACGACAAACTCATCCCTGCCCAATCGTTGAAAGGGCTACGCTGGGAACCGAACTCACTACATCGATCAATCTCCGCGAGCTCGCCGCTGCAGGGACTGCACGATCAATTCTCTGGATGTAAGCTCATCGGCTTTAGGGACTCTTGCTGAGTCGCGGGCGTTCCACCATACGCCGATGACAACACGATGTGTCGAGAACGTTCGGTCTGTCCGCCTCCACAGCTTGCCTTCAAGCAAAAGGCCGATGCATGACTCCATTTGTCGGGAAATGTCAGCAACATGCCAAGACACTGTACACTCGCTCCACTGCTCCCAGTCGGACATGACCTCGAGCACTGCCGACTTCAAAGCACTGCACGCTACTGCGCCAATCAGTGCAAGTGCAACTATTCATGATCTGTTATTTGGGGCTGCCGTGCGCCTACAACAATATCTGCCTCCCGAATTTACAGCCACACGTGGAAACATCCTCTGAATCAAGAGCATAACTGGCGACTTGAACATTCTTGAACATGCCTGCAAACTTGCTGATATCTGCTGGAAACACTTGCAAATAGGAATCCAGCACAATCTTGTCGCCGCCTGTTAGCACCACATTGGTCGGAGGGCTCCTTGGCAGTGAGAACGCGTGAAAATCAGAGGTTATCCAAGCACATATCCAAAAATGTCAGCCATCGAAACCCTCCAGAACTGAAGTTTGCTGTCAAAGATCGTGCCCAACACCAGGGTTGCAAGGCACTACCTCTTTCACCGTTCCATTGCAGGACCTCACGAGATTTGACCATCACAGTCTGTCACTTGACTTTGCCAAGCTGAGCCTCAGGCTCCCCACCTTCAGTGGCGAATCGCTCGATAACTCGATTCCGTTCCCGGATGCCGAAACAACTGCAACTGCATTGTGACCTGTCGCAACACGCATCAACCCAAAACGGCGTAAAACGATTCTCCCCTTAGCGATTCAAGAGCTCAAGCTAAGCCGGCAAACCAGTGATTCCACTCGCCCATGACGCAGTCTTGAACGACGTCGCATTCGGCCATGTCAATGCAAGCCTGGCCAAGTCAGAGCCAAGCCGGGCTATGACCTGTCCTGTCCGTCGGAAACGCAGACGACCTTGTACTCCTCACGCAAGCCGACGGCTGGCTTCCCACAATGGCTAGGCTGGACCTGCGTAGCAGCGTAGAGCAGCGCAGCTCCAGAGTCTCTCAGAGTTCCTCAAGCATGCAATGCATGCGGCGTCTCCTCTTCGCTGAGCTGCCGACCGCCACGTCACGACGTCTCGACTTGTAAGCTGTCCCACACGTTGCAGAACCTGGACCGCCATGGCCATGGTGGCAAGAATGTCGGAAGCGGAAGGCTCCCGCAATCTGTCCAACCACTCCATTCACTCCATTCACCTGACAGAACAGCAGTTGCCCAAGCCAAGACCAGAGCTCCTTAGCCCCCGCTTGCGAGCGCTTGCATCTACTCATGAGAAACATCCTTGTTTTGTCACCATCTTTCCTGGCCGACTTCCTGAAGAGAGAGCTGAGAAGCCGAGCTGCCGCAGCAGGACAAAGCCCAAGGCCCGACACACCGGCAGATCGAATTTTCAGCTTCTAGCTCCGCCGGACTCCACACTCGATCCTACCCCTTGCACACAGGCCAGGCTAAGGCCAGGCCCAACAAAAACCAAGAGCTTAAGTACAAAAGGGGGCTGGAACAGAAGCAAAAATCTACTTCTGGAATCGACTTGCGACCTCCTGTTGCCATATGTTGCCATGCGCGGGATCGCATTGAGGCCCGAGCCATCTAAGCATGCAGCATCACAGGACTCCGTGTTGCAAGGCCTCAGCATTCCAGTCACCTTGAGAGTGTCACTATTGACTATTGACCATCAACATCCATCAGCGTTGGTTTAGCCGGCGGCGCGATCTGGCTCTTGTCTTTGGGGAAGCACAAACTGCACAAGCCCCAAGCCCCACCAAGCCCCACAAGCCCAAAGAATGCGTTCCAATGTCTAATCATCCTTCCAAGGCCCTTCCGGCCTTCCGCCGTGCTGCGGTGCCACTGCCACATTTCTCTCTCGGCCTGAGGGATGCCGGGATGCGCAGAGTCTCTTTGCCGCAGAGCGTAAGCATACATACAACGACAGCAGCCTTGGTAACTGGACACAACGAGAACATTCATAATGATGACCTTTTGTTCATGTTCGGGCTGCGGTGACGATCGTGCGACAGCATCCACATGACTAAAGAAAAACTATTAATTATTCCCCTAGCGGAAAGCAACTACTCAAACAGCAAACTGGATGGGAAATCAAGCAGAGTGAGTTCAGCTGATGTGGCAAGCAACCTGTAATTCCTGGAGTCAGTCGCGATGGATAACCGCCGGCGACTTCAACCCATGCTAAGCAGGAAGCAGCATGTTCGAACAACCCAAGAACACAGCGGCAGTAAACCTTTGATATGCAGACGATGCGAGATCGCAAGTGCCGAAGATTTGCATTGGATGCTGCGGGCTCGGTTGATGGCTCTCGATTGCTCAAGGACTCCCCTTTGGTTTCCAAGAATCAAGCCATGCAGCTCCTCAATTTGCTCCGCGGCATCATCTCGACTGAGGGTGCGGCGCTTCGTTCCTCCATCACAGGAAGCTGAGCAAACCGACCAGTCCCACCACTCCTCAGCTTCGCACAATGAACCCAAGCTTTACATCTTGTACCCAAACGTTGCAAAACATCAAGCTGATTTGCTTCATGGCGCTTGGCAGAACTTGTGACGTCTTGGTGTGTGTTTCCCCACCGCTTTGCTTTATCTCCGTCTTTCTACGGCCTTCTGTCCAGAACGAGATCCCATGACCTCATTGCAGTTGGTAATTGCCTTATTGGGCCATGGTCGTTGCTACCTCTCTTCCTCTGATCAAACTATATGACTGTATGTCGCCTTATTTGCGATCATGCTTCTCACCTGGTCCTTGTAAAACAAAGACTAGACGTACAAAATGTGAAGATCTACCGGGTTGCACTGAAAGGTTTGTACCGGTGGAGTTCACAGGTGTTCATGGCACCGTCAGCGCATGCAATATAGCATAGCTTTGGCCAATTCACGATGACAGCAACTCCTCAAGTTCGACATGTCGGGGCAGTGAATCTGATCTTCAATACCCTCGAATCGTGCATCACTAAGCCGGTTGACGACATATCTACCTACAAGTACCTAAAGAGACTTGGCGAACAGATTAATGGTGGCTTAGCCCGCTGCGCTCCACTGGCAGTCAACGACCTGCGCATGTCTAACCCGTGCTTCAATTTCCAAGATATTGCAAGCGTTTGCAAGCCGAGTCTGCACATCACATGTGCACACACTAACGCCTACACACTTGAGCCTTGGCTGGCTCATGTGGTTAGCGTAAATGTGATCATCGACAATCCACACACTTGCGAGGTCATGTAAACCTATGAACCACGATAGCAGATTCGTCATCGATCACAAACGATGATGACATGCGTGCAGGACCAAGGCAAAGTTGGGCCAGTAACCATGTGCGGTGTCCACTAACATGCCCCTTAACACCGAGCATGTGTGTAAAAAACACACGCAGGAAAAGTTCAAGTTTGGGTAGCGTCTCCCGCTACTCTATTCACTCGAACAACGTGGACATGGCTGTAACTGTAACTTCCTGCAAAGACGTCATACGCGCAAGTCTGAGATCGATGCAGAACAACAGCGCAACCAACAGCGAAGATCATCAGAGCACAAGACGGGCTGTCCATGGTCTGCACGTCCTTGATCACTATGCGGCTTAGAAAATGATTTCGCAGGCAAGCGGCCAGATTTTTGCAATGCCACGACGGCCCGTGCTTTGTGTAAAAATCTTGTGTTCTGGCTCTCACACACGGTAAAGTCCTGAGGATTTGCAGCGGCGTCGATGATGTGATGTTGAATGAGATTTCTGCAGTCGAAATGAGGGGGCTACCTCCAGCTGTGCACTGCGGCACCCAGGAGCATGACAGATCGGGAAGCTCATCAGTACGATTTGCCAGCCGAGACCCATAGAGCTCGGAGGAAAAAGGAACAAAACCTTAAACACTTCAATCATGAACATGATCACACCACATGCCAGCAAGCCCCCTTTGTGTAGCACAGCGGTTCGACCCAACACACAAATTTCGCACAAAAGCAGAGAAATTCATCCACGGTGTGTCGCATGTGCTGGGTATCGGTGGTTCACCCGCTCTCACACTTTCTCGCGAAGGAAACGGAAAACGTACTTGGAAAGTGTCTTCTGCACTCGCGGACAAATGCACTTAAAGAACATACTCTAGCTGCACTTGCACAAGCCAGCCCACTACAACGTGTGATGATTCATAGGGGTCGAGCCATCATGCATGTCAGAATGTGGCAGACGTGCAGAATGCAGGGATTGCAACATGCTCTGTGGCAAGTGCAAAACTAATCTGGGCACAGGGGCCCTCTAATCTTGCTGGCACAGGGGCCCCAGCTGTGGCAGGTACACACTCAAGCGTTCTTGAGTGCTTGCACCACAGTTCTTAGCTTCGTTGGCACGGCTCGAACTGTGGCGCCGTGCCCCCTGCAAACGAAAAAGAAAAATCTGACATGCTGTGTTGTAAAGCGTTGTCGGGTTGTGCGCCACTTACCGCATGTACGAGAGGAGTTCACAGACACGCTGCCCCAAAACCGGGGCGCGTGCAGACCAATGATGCACGTTAAATCGGTCTTTTCATGCTGCAAAGCTGTAATTCGAATATGGTGGCCGGTGAAATCGGCAATGTTGTACTAAAAAAGCGTGCTCACGGTGTTCGGGAAGTTTTGCGTTTGGTAAGAGGGGACCCACCAGCGCTGCAACCCGTATCCTTTGCGGAACTAGGTTGGTCCGCAAGCTGCGTCTGTGATTGTTCATCTCCGCTGCGGGCGGAATTGAGCCAGGCACGTGTGGCGATAAACCAGGTCCAAGACCAGCGGCCCTCGCTGTCGCACCACCAGTACCACCGCCATTCAGGTCCCGACGGGGATCGTGAGCGTTGTGTCCTGGGCATGTTGCGTGCAAAGAGAGCAGAAAATGGCTGCGGCAGACGGACATGTGAAACATCTGTAAGTCATGCATGACAAGTGGGTGTGCGTTGCTTGTTTCCTTTGCCTCTTTTCAAGGCTGTAGTGAGTTCAGTTTTTGCTCGAACTGGCCAAAGTGCCGGCGCGTCCCTGCTGTCTTTTTAGGGTGAATCTTTTCAAAAGTCTGGGTTTATGGATACGAATCGTGTGTCCCTGCTGGAACAACCTCGGGAAGTTCCGGACACTCTGGATCTCTGTGTCATGAAGCAGAGCGATACGTGCAGGATGTTGCTCCGGTAAGGAGAGAAAATCCTGAAAAGTACGGTTGCTCAGAAACAATGAGGCAATCGATAGCGGCTCAGGGCGGGTGAACCTCAGGTGCTTTTCGCTTGCCATGGTATGCGTGTAGCAAGTCCTTGAAGTAGAGAAATCGGGCCGCGGTCACCGGTGCGGTGGGCAGCATGTTGTCGGTTGCGCACTTGAGCACTGAAAGCTGCGTGCATAGTGGCAGTCATGGGTGTTGTGTTAGGTGCTTCGTTGTGTAGATCGAGCATGTTGACTGCTACTGTTTTGCTCTCATAGCAAGCCGGTCATGCGTGTTACGACCTGAGAAGGGCTTCAAGTCTTGTGACTCGCTCCTGGAGATTGGCGATCTCACTGTTGGTCTGCTCAATGTACTCCGCCAACTGCTGAACACTCTCAGTATCAGAGCTGTGTTCGCGCTGTTCGGTAAGAACCTGAAAAAGAGCCTCAGACAGTGCTGCTCTGCGCGCCTCATCTTCAGTAGGCACAGTGACGTGCATGTCCCGTGGCGGCGCTGCCGATTGGTCAGCCATGTTGTCAATCTGCATCGAGGGCAGCCACTGCAAGCTAAGAGAACCGAAACCTGCGGTAGAATGCTGAAATATAAATTAAATGCACAGAGTTGCAAAAGGTGCGCTGGCAATGCATCCAAGGAGTGCAGCTGCAATCTTTTAGGCAGGCACGGATCCATTGTGGCTTGCAACCTGCTTTTGTGTACACCTCAGTCAGCTGCTCCATAGCCTCGGAGACTGCTTGTTTTGTTGTCGCCAGCCTGTTGGCCAAAATGGCCCGGGCTTTTAGGCTGCTACGTAGCACTGTGTCTGGAGATGCTGAGTGTGGCGACATAATGTCGGTGAGGTTGTTGGTGGCTTTGAGGTTGTTGGTGGCTTTGTAGTGTAATGCTGGGGGTCGATGGCGAAGCCAAGAAAATCGAGACCGGGTTCGGTCTCAAGGTGGATTGGGGGAACCGTAGAAAAGGGGGGAAGTGAATTGCCGAAAGTGGGGGAGTGAGGTTGCGCTGGTGGGGATGAGGGAAAGCCGGTTGTCCACATAACGGGTGGCGAAAAAGCCGCTGATGGTGAACGTGGGTGCGCTGCAGTGCTTGATGTTGTAGGTGATGTTGCGAAAAGTGTGGATCCAGGATTGTTCGCTGACGGCGACAACCATGTCGCAAAGTGTTGGGCTCGCGGGTGAGCCCATTGGTGCGCCTCGGGTCTGTTGTAGAAGAGTGTGACCGACAATGCAGTAATTCAAAAGAAGAACTGCTTTGCAAATGCAAGGTAGATGGTCGAGATGTATGCTGCGGCGTCCAGGTTTCTGACATTGGGGTCGGCCCCTGTGGACGTGCATGGCGGGGTCTGGTTCCTGATGGGTGCTTGTGAGTGCTGAAGCGTGTTTTGTGCATTTGCTCTTGTACCAATGTGTCATAAGGTCGAGGCTGGCGAGAAAGCGGTCGGTGGAAATGCTTGTAAAGAATCCCGAAAAATCCTGGTTGTAAATACTGATGAGGAAGTTTTCCTGATCAGGGTTGTTGTGGTGTGAATGGAATGCTTGTCTGAGTGATTGCAGTTGTTGTAGAGTGTCTCCTCTGCCCAATGCTTGTGGGCATGCTTGTCGAAGCATAAGATAAATAATGTCAGCCAGGTCGTTTGTTAACGACCTCATCATGGCGCCCACGAAAGAAACGATGGTCCGGCCTTTGGTGAAGGCCTTCTTTCGTTTTGGCAATATGTATGCCACGGGGATTTTATCCCACTGCTGCAAGGGCCCATCTGTATTTTGGGAGGAGTTTTTGTACACGGGCGAATGTGTTGTGGTGGTGGTGGTGGTGTGGTGGCGGGGTATCAATGATGTGGAAGACCTCTTTGTCGAGAAATGTGTTGGCGATTGCTGTGTGGTATAGAAGTGGACAGTACCACATGAGTTTGTTGGGAAGGTGGTCTTCACTGTGGATGACCCCGTCTGGGATCTGTTGCTTGGCATTGCTGACAATGTGAAGGTTAAGGTGATCGGAGAGGTGTTGTTGGTGGAGGTTCATCTGTGCGTCGACAAATGTTGTTGTGGCTGGGTCCTCCGGTGAAGGGACCGGGAGGTGATGTTGTTTGTGCCATCGTTGTATGGCTGCGAGGAGGTCCTGCCGTAGTCACTGGACCGGTGGAAGGAAAGTGCTTCGGCCGGAGTACTGGATAAACGGATGTTGTGGAACAAGGCCGTGTAGTGGTATGGCAATGTGGCCGTCGTGGAGGTGTGTAGAGTGTTGGTGGTGGAGTGGCTGGCATGTGCATTGAGGGCGGTTGTCTGGTTGCCACGCGCGGTGGAATGTCCGCCAATTATGGAAATGATCTTGGACACGCGGGTGTCGTGTGTACACGACGGTGGTTGCGAGTGGGTGAAGTGGTATGGAGTGTTCTCGATGTAGTGTGATGCGTCGTCGAAGAAAGGAGGCGGGTGGTGGCTGTCTGCGTGGGAATGTGCCAGGTAGGGTAGGGATGCTGGTCTGCGTGTTTTTGGGGATCGGCAACGATCTCTTGCATAATGCTGTGTTGATGGCTTCGGTAGCTGGTCGTTGATGCGTGGTGGGGAAGTTGCGGGAAATGCGGTGGTATGCGTAGAGCTGGGCGAATGGGGTTCGCCGCCTCATCAGTTCTTTCGTGCTGTCAAAGTGTCTTTTTGTGTTAGACGCGAGGCTGCAGATGGTTTGCCAAACCGAATTGGCGCTGGAAAGCGCGTGACTTTTTGAGTGGTCGCATGGCTGGTGGAAGGTGCCATCGCCGGAGTTTTTTCCACAGGGAGGTAATGCCGGGGCGTTGTGAGATCTTGTTGCGTGCTGGCTGGGCGATGCCGCGAAAAGCACGCTTCATGTGCGGTGCAATGTGGGGATAATTGAACTGGAAGTGCTGTATGAATGT